TCGGGATTTGTAACCATTAGATCATGTAACCGTCAGACATAGTTGATCGGTTACAACTCCCGACGGAATGGTTCCGTAACGGGACCGTAGCATCTCCCAATAAACAAATGTATGTATGTATGTATGATGTGAGGAGTAAATAGGATAATGATATATAATTACCTGTAATATTGTCACCAAGGCCGCTGAGATCACTAGTTGTGTTTGTATATGAGAATCCAACGCCAACGGGAGATTCCAAAAACAGTAAATTGGCCGCTGCCAGCCAAATAATTATCAGTTGAGGCAGGCGGCATATTAATTGGAAGAACATATATATATATATATATATATTAACAAGTCATTATATCTGAATATAACATTAATAATGTTACTATTAATTATGTATTGGAATAGGCCGGATTATTAATATTATATAATAATAATTGTGTTGAGATGGATCGATCGATCAGTTGATCAGTAGTACCTTTGTTCCATGTATGGTTGTTGAACTTGAGCTCTGGCTTCTTTGTCCCTTTCTTCTGAGGATAGAAAGGTCCCAGCTCTTCATATTGCCCATAGCCTATTGATGAGCATCCAGGACCTGAATAATAATAATAATATATAGTAAAACAACATAGTATAAGATTAATAACTATAATAATAATGTTTTCATTTATTTTATTTTCTCCTCTTAAATCATCCTAATTTTTTAAAATATAAAGTGAATCACTGAATTTAGAGTAAATCCTATCTTCAAGATCAACGTAGTAAACTCATGGTATATATGGTTGAGAAAGAAATTCTTATATATGATGACTAGTGTTTGCTATAGTCGTGAACCATCAATTGCATTTAGAATTTATTTAAATTAATGTATGTATAATTTGATTTACTACTAACTCTTGTAATGAAAATAAATAAATAAATTAATTAAAAATTGTGATGAAATAACTTGTGTTTATTAATTTACCTCCGTTGAGCCAGAGGACGAGAGGTTTGTTATGGGGTTGCTTGGTGGCTTCAAAAAACCAATAAAACAGGGCTCTGCCATTAGTTTGGTTAACAGTGACATAGCCGGCATACTGCCTGAAACTGACAGGTGGCTGTCCGGGCAACCGGCCGACACGGTCCGCCACCTGCTGCCGCGGAATGGGACCAAACGCTGAACCACATTCCCACACAGCCATCACCGTCACCACTGCTAATAAACCTCCAACAAAATTCATCTTAATAATAATTTTATTTAAGCAAAAGTTTTTTTAATCACCAAATGTTATGTAACGTTATGTACAGTATGTATATATAACTAATCGTATCGCGATAAATAAGGCCAGATTACAATGAATTACTATTATCCCAAGGATCTCTCGTGCAATCAAATACTACTACTACTTGTGTATCTCTCTCTCTCTCTCTCTCTCTCTCTCTCTCTCTCTCTCTCATATCAAATGCTATGCTATGCAACGATTCCTTTTTCCAACTTCAATATTCCATTTATGCCCCCTTATAATCATGCAATCAACTCATTAATATTGGCTAGAGTTTTGATTATTTGTAAACACCACTTATTATAATTATGAGGAGAGTCATGCTTACTTTAAACTGCTAATAATTCTTGCAATCAGTGCTGGATTTGGTACATAATAATTGACGACGCAATTGTTGACTGACTGCTACACTAGTATATTTATTTATTTGCCAGTTTAATCATAACTTAACTTATTCTACTTGTAGTCGAAATTCTATATTAATTAGTTGTTTATGTTTTTATTTGGGTTGGAGAAGAATTTCAGGTTACAAAACAATTTGTTTGTTTGTTTGTGTGGCCTGGCCGGCCGGCCGGCCGGCAGCTCTTGCCAAACAGGACAAGTTCTTATCCTCCTTTGTACACAACGGCACAAAAGAGATAATAATAATAATAATATCAATTTTTTTGTCAGTTATTACGACATTGATTGTTGGACGTACACTGACTGCATAAATCAGTATATACTGTTGAAAAATATAACGCTAATGCCAGTAAAAATTTAAAATACAAGCTACTACTACAAGTCCCCAAAACCCGTCCGTATGGGTATTCAATCACATACCGCCGGTATAAGACTGGCACACTGCTCAACCATTACAATACAACACACACAAAGTTAACTTTGTATGTATACCAACTTCAACATAAAATTTCAAAATATACAATAAAATAAATTAATTGTTTGATGAAAAAAAAAAAGGAAAGAAAAGAAAAATATAATACTTCTGTATTAATATTAATTAATATGCATGATGGAGGGAGGGAATGTAAGAATTGAGATTATAATTTATATATATAGTTTTAGTTAAATCTTGTGCTGTTCCTCCTAGCAAACCACTTTCTGCGGAACTTATCAGCTGCAGATCCTTGTTCATCAGCATTAGCACTAAGCTTGTTTAGAATAACCTTAGTCTCCCTGAGCCTCGCCCCATAATCTTTCTTCCACGCTTCAAACATGTTTTTCAACCTGCGAAGCTCACGGTCCGGGTCCAAACTCCCTTCAGCCTGACCCGATTTGACTTGAACCAAGAACTTTGCATCATCCCCAAAAATCTGACTCCTCTGTTCAAACTCCTGAGCCAGACGGCCAATCACACTAAGCCCTGTGCTGCTGCTGCTGCTACACTCGTCAAGTTCTTCACCATCTTCACACAAGTTGAGATGGCTATGGCTATGGCTCTTCTCGCTCCCAATGCAAAGTCTCGACTGAAGAGACCTCATCTGCATTTGCCACATCTCCTCCATAGACTTCATTCTCGCCTCGTATTCCGACCAACGGTTGTCATATTGTTGCAGCTGCTGCCGAAGTGCATCATTTTCTCCGTTTTTCTCTCTCACGCCAGCTTCAGCCCTTAGAATCCTCAGTTGAAGCTCCGCAAGGAAAGATGATTTCACCAACACCTCATTACCCTGAATAGCTCATTTTACCAAAAGCGTAACATATCACCATCTATGTACATATGTATGTTATCCCAAATATATGTTATCTCTGCTCCCTCTATTTCGTCTTAATTCTCAGTTACATTAAAGAATTTAAGGAACACCAAAGTATGAACATTGCCTTTTTCTCCTCTCAGTATAGTTTAACTATCGTAGATTTGTTTTGATTCTTGAAATAAGTAATAGGGACATTGTGGTGAAAATTTGTACAATGGCATTTATTTTATAACAAAATCAAGCCCCTTTTAAAAGCACTTGATGTAAAATGGAGGGAGTATATATGTGTATATTAATATTATTTTTTTTTTGTGTGTGTGTCTGAAGAACGATGATATTCCCAATTGTTGTCTGATATTACCTTTTCACCTCCAAATTGCAGCAACGCTACATCTCCCGAGCATCTTCGTATTAACCATCCACGAATAACTGTAAAAAAAAAAAAAAAAAAAAAGGAATAGGGAAGAGCTTTCTCAATTAATAAGTATTGAATCCTAGAAGAGACTAGGCTTTCTTGGGGTCAACGTCAAACAGATAGAAGTTACCTGATTGTACTACTATTGACGCCTCATTTATTCTTTTCCACTTTTTTCTACAAGACCTTGCTTTCACACACTTTTGGATAGCTATAGCTGCTCTATGCTTCTTCAATAAGACTGCGTACTCTTTTCTAGTCTTTTCACCACGAATAACTGCATTAGCAGGTTGTTCCACATCTCAGACAAATTTACAATGTAGAAATAGAACCATAATATGCTGTCTCTCATTAAGACATACATGCTTGAATGGTCGCGATCCCTCTCCTTGATTCCTTCGTTTGACAGCGAGCTAGGTGGCCTCTAAAGCAACTTTGCACGCGTAAAATACCATGTAGAGTACGATTTCTAGTATCTTCAAGTGCCCCAATCTAAAAACTCAGATAAAAAGAAACGTATACATTAGAGAGCACAGGTTTCCAGTGATTATCACTATGATATAAGGATTAAGATGAAATGTCGGAGAATGGCAATTTTCATCTTTCAGCACCTAGTTACTTCAAGATTTAGACAAAAATGGAAACACCGTGTCGGAATCATAGGTACAGACAGGGTATGATTCTTTATTTTAGAAAAGACATATCAATAAAAAATTATGCAAGTGGCTGCATCTCTCTGTATAACTCTATACAATGAACCTTTAGTAACAGACACTGCACATGTCTAGTTGCCACTATAAAAGGTCTACTTTCAGAATTCCATGGCCACAGAGTGCTTGTTGCCTCATCTTGCAAATGGACCCTAAAAATGGTGAGATCAGGATATAGCAGTTGCCTACTAATTTATTTATGTATGCATTATGTCATTCTTCTTATACATTTGCTTTAAGAAACTAAATATTAGTGTTGCTGGTCGAAAGTTTTTCAAATCTCTACAACATACAGTTCCTTCTGAAATAATCATTTTTCCAATCAAAACTCGGCATGCTTATAGACTTTTCAACCTCGCCAGTCCCTAGCTAGAATTAAAGGATAAAGGTTGCATTTGATTGACACCTGCAGCAGAGTCTTCCCCAAGTGTTAATGCCAGTCTGAATTTCAACCTCGCCGAATGCCTCTTCTTCTATTTTGTATTCTTTTTCACAATACCTTTAGAGACTTAACCCTACTACCTAAATAGAAACCGAGGAGAATTCTGAAGCAAAGGCCCAACCCAATTCTTTATCCTAACCCTAAATAAACGGGATATTGCAGATAAAAATGCGGGAATATTTCAAAACACTACGTTTTAAAAGAACATATTAGAGTTTCAGCCTACTGGCTGGCAAAGCTTATTCGTTGAGAAGTAGCCCATATCTTGCATACCTTTCTCATTTGCCACGAATAAATCCTGCTCCGCTTTTCATTTTCTTTGTTATCTTATTGAGTCTACCAGTTTTAGTTATTACTTACTTAGCCCAAGCGACGACATCAAAGTGAAACCAACATGAGGGGGATATTCTCACCTGCCCAGTCCGGAAAAACAATTTCGTGTATCCCACTTGATACATCTCAGGTAGAATGCCAAACTGGTGAAGAATGTGCATTGAAACAGTGAGTGGATCCTGTGAAGCAACATGCTCCAGAAGAAGGAAGTTGTACCTGATGGAGGATATAAAACAACTTAAGGTGACCAATGGAAAGAAAAAAAAAAAGTATAACGGTTTATGGACCTATGGTGGTTTTTACCTTCTAGCAAACTTTTGGTGGGACATTCTGGTAGGGAAACCAGATCTTGAAATTCTAACTACTTCTAAGACTCCACAACATCGCAGCTGTTGCAGCACAAGCCCTTGACTATAGTAACCAGGAGACTGGGAGTTGTTGGGCTTTATACAACGTATGAAATGTGATGTTGTGTTCTCAAGACGTTGCATAAGCTGGAACAGTTGGCCCTGAAAGCAACGACAATAGCAAGAGACACCATAATTATCCTGAAGTATAAACAGCATACATCAATCCAATCGCCATGGCTGACACTTCTTTTACCTTAAACTTTGTTGTAACACTAAATTTTTGTGAATCTGCTCCACAGGATTTATGCTGAGCACCCACCACAGGCTTCTCAGAATGAGAGAGCATACTGGATGCAAAAGCCTGAGGAAGGTGGCATGTGCAAGAAGAAAGAAGTTCGATGGAATCCAAATGAAGCAAATCCCGGTTCTTCTCAAGAAAACCGGTTGTATCATACGTAACCTGATACCAGCACAGGGTTACAGTCTTCACTCAGGCATGTTAAGATAATATTTATGAACCAGTATATTCCCAACAGTTTGCGATGGACTGATAAAGCAGTCAGCCAAATCAGTGCCCCAATTTTAAGGTTTTCATATGTTGCACCAGGGTTTTATTTCCTCAACATATTGAAAGGAGAAAAATTAGTGTGCAGCTTAAATGGTTTGTTAAATCATTATAGATTAGCTTAATCATACTAGAGAATCCAAATTTTAGAGCTTTGCAGAAAAAGAAAAAAAAAAAAAAAAA